TTTGAGATGGTCCTTGATGAAGTGGGGTGTGGGCACTTCTCCACCACAGGTCAGATCTGCTCCATCGTGTGTGTTTGGACTGTCCTCACAACACACCACCTTTATCTGAGAATCCTCTCCGCTGCCTGTTCTTCTCTTTATTTTCTGCCGAGCAGCTGAACTCCAGCCTTGAGGAAAAAGATCATTGCATCTCTTGTCTTGCTCTACTTTTGCTCCTTGGTTCTCACCTCTTCTTTAGTTTACTTCTATCTGCATGCTCTTTGATGCGGTGTGTTGTCTTTCATGCACATGCCTGCACACACTTAATTTTTATCAAGCCACAGATTAATTTATTCTCTGCTTCTCTTCCTCCTTCTTTGTTTGCTTTCTCTCCGCTGACTCAATCCATCATAGAATCCTCTCTAAGACATTATCACCATAGCAACTGTACAGTTGTTCACTTTGTTCCCCCAAGTCCCTCATCCTGACACACACGCACGCACGCACACACACACGCAGGCACACTCACTATGAATCTGGTCTAAATACTTTTAGAGTTTTTGTTTGTTGATGATAAATTCCTCATGGTGATGTCTCGGGATCATTTTGCTGGAATCAAGTGTGTGTTTGTGTGGTACATAAATAGTTCCAATGACTGTTTGGTAAAACAACAAACAGCAAAATCCCAGATGAAGCTTCACTGCATCAAATCTCTTTAGCAGATCAGTCATCTTGCTATTTATATAAGTTTATTTCTGAACTCTTAAGGTGAGGATTTGGGATTTCTAAATACATAAATTCTCTTATGTAACGTTTGCCCTGCTCTTTGCGGTATAGCAGCACTTTGACGGTGTTGAGATAGAGCGGTGGGCTAACGTCATCTTTTTCTCTGTTTAACTCTTTAATCTTGCTTAAATGCTAAAAAAGTCTCTCTCACACATCACATTTCCCACAATTGGTTACTTTTAAAGTCAGTAAAACATATTTTTACAAAATGTCTTGCCCTCAATCATAATTTGGTGAGAATCCCTGAATGGAAACATTGGTTTTAACTAGTAAACCTCCACAGTGCAGCTTTAAGTTGGACATATGTGTGTGATTCCATACAAAGGGGACATTTCACTGGACTCTTTTCTCTATCCCAGCGACTCTGGGGAGAAGCAGTGTGTTGCTTAGGGACACTTCAGTGGGCGGGAGGCTTCTCATCATATACACATCAAATCAAACAAGGAGGAGGATCACAGATTGAAAAAGTCCTTTGCTTATGAAACATCATTAGAGGAAATTACACTACCATTACTCTTTGTAGCCCAATCTTTACCAAGCAGATGTAAATGTAGCTGCAAAGAGTAGCTCGTTAACCAATTAACCTCCTCAGATATGAATCACATCAGGGTCTTTGCTCTACGCTTCACTTTTTATGACCATAATGTCAAATTAGTAGTTAGATATTGTTACCTCCTGCTGTGAGGTGCCGTCAATGCCTGACTATAATTACCCTATCCTCTGTTTGACTCATTGTCACTCTGCTCTCATCTTTCGACTTCTCCCTCGTCTTCTGCTTCATGGGGCTCTTGTTACGCTCCGAGGAATTCGGCAGCGGCATCATCTCGCCTCACTGCAGCCATCTTCCCCCCTGGTTTTGCCTCAGCAGCTCTGTCTGTTAGCGTCGGCCGTTTGTCCGCCGGCGTCTCTGCCCAGCGCTGCATGATGTCCGGTATTTAACTGGCTGACAGGATCTTTGATAGATACAGTCTGAAGTGATGCCTCATCAAGCTGCTTGGAAATAACATTTTTGTGCTACACCACTTTCTGATGTGGGTTGTTTTTATGATTTTGCAATAACACAATAATATCATCTGTGCTTCATGTTGGACTGAGTCAGGGACTCGTGTGTCTTGTCAATAGATCACCTGAAACAAACTTAAAGGGAAAGTGCTGAGGTGTGTTTGTGTACATGCTTGTTTTCATGTGGCAAAACAAAAGCAAGGATTAGATTCTTTCCATCTTCCCCATGGATGGATCACTGAACCTGTACCATACCAACCCCAGGGGTCCAAAGGGTCCTTTAGCCGTGGCCTCAGTGTGAATATATTGAAGAAAAAAACCGAACAGCAACATCATGGCAATTTCAAATAGTGTGTTTCTGCTGGACATTTTGGCACCATGCAACATGGGCCCTCTGACTCTGCTGGAAGAAATTAAAAAACATCTACATTTCTGTGTTCACTTCACCAAACATTTTTAATGTGGCAGCGTGGGCCAGAATGAAAGCTGCCAAGTGTACTGCCTCTTCATGCATTTGCACATTTGATATTATGCATATTATTATGTTTGATACATAATCAAATTAAGGGAAGGAAAGGGATCAACCTCTTTAAGACCTTTAATGTGTGGGGCACAGCTCGCTGTTCTTGTATTGTCCCAAATCTAGAACCCAAAGCGTGACGTTAATACCAGGGTGAGCAGGAAGCTTATGATTCATGACCTACACTGTGTCATACAATACATGTTGCTGTAAGATGAGTAAAAGAATGCGTACACACACACAGAGTGCAGCTGCAGCTCAATCAGCAGGACAACTAAGGATCATCAGGTTTTTATTTCTCACAACAACCACCCAACATTTCAGCTTCAAATCCCAGATGCTACCTTATTGGCTCGATTTTAGTTTAGTCGGACTAAAGTAAATTGTCCACAAGTCATCCACGGCTCTGTTAGTTTGTTAACATAATATTCATTTAATGACATTGTCATAGTGCTTATTACCTGCAGATCTAGGAATTTTCTTTGACACTTTTCTTTGTTTCTCAGAGGATAATTCATGGATCTTTCACAGGACCGGAAGGTTTCATTAGGGAGGTGTTGAGCCTTGGCCGAGGTACACACTCTCAGAGCGCCATTCTAGTTGCTATTGCAATACAAATTGGATTTAGCTCTGTGATGCTGGTGGTACAAGTTCTTGATATAGAATCTGTCATATCGTAACATGTCAGCCGGTTTGCATCAGCTCCTGGACCACAGAAAAAAACGGAAATCGACACAACTCTAGGTGACTGTGAGTGGATATCCCTCCACTTTAATTGTATCTGTGACTCCAAAGAGCACAGGGGGGATGAACACAAAGAGAAAACGACCGCGGGTAAAGGTGAGAATATATATGAAGGCAGCAGGAAGATGAGAGAGGGCTCGCAGTAAAAGTGAAAAACATCCAGGGGCTCACTGTCCAGAGACATGGAGAGAGTAAGAGGGCTGATTAAGTCAAAGATAGAGAGAGAGAGAGTAAAGGAGGGACTGTGTCCTCTGTGGCTGCCTCTATCCAGGATGTCTGTTGTTCACTGAGCAAGCCTCCTCAGAAAAGTTGAAAAGAATGAGCGTTTGTACAGTGTGGAGGTGAAAATGGGATGCGGGTTGCAGAGGGAGAGAAGACGCAGCCAGGACACAAGAGGCCTGAGCACTATGCCATTTGTTGTTTTCTTTTCTGTCTCAAGCAAAGCCTCCAGGACAGGATCAAATATAGACGAGCTCACTTAAAGGAGAATATGCTAGTTTTTCAGATTTTTCACTGAACCTCAGTCAGTCACGCCCTACAACTGCCTCTGTTTTCCATCCACAAACATCTCCTCTTCATCTCTCTATTCGCCATCTTCTCCTTTGGTCATGTTACTTGCTCGATTTAGCGTGTTTGTGTGCACTCTCCAATGATGCAGGCCCACTTACTCAGTCAGTGGCCTGTATAATTACACATGCAGCCGTTCTGACACATTTCAGCTTGATGGAGGCAATGCTGGTGGGGGGGTTATCCACCCTCATTTGCAGGGTTTTAATTACAGCCATGTTTGTTTTGTGGTGATTGTAGGAATTACCCAACATCAGCGACTACAATACTGACTGGAATAGGAATGAATCGATTTTCCGACAAGTTAAAAACTTGGCCATGCAGAACAGACCGGAGCGGATCCCGCTACAGATGCTTTGACCGTTCATGCATGTGTGCTGCAGAAAACATTTATGACTTCTGATATCATCCAGTTCACTACTGTCCTGCTTGTTTTCTTGGAAGCCTATGATAGCATCAATCCCCCTTTGCTCATTACAGCTCAATTTTTACTCAGCCCCAGTGCCAGATGTTGAGGCCAAGATAAACAGTTGCTCAGTTTCGCTCACTCCTGGCACTACAGGATCACTGCACGGTGTTTATTTGTGCCTGAACAACATTGGAAGCCTGATTTGGGGAGGATGGGCTAGGCTGGCTTCCAGGACGACAAGATGGAGAGAACTGACACCAAGCCCGAAATCACATGAACCTTACACGTTCCCACGCACTGATAACGACCTGACAAATCCATTCCAGCTGGATATGTCTTTTTGTTTGTTTATTTGTTTCATTCTTTTTCGGGGGTTTGTTTCAGATGCTACGATGGACACGATATGGCATATTTAGCATTGGTGTGATTTTCAAACTAAAACTCAGCTACCGTGCATAGAAATGACACTGCAGAGCTATTTAGTGTCTTAATGAGGCGAAACAGACAGAGTGAGTAAGAGTTGTAGCAAAAGGGATCCTTTTATATTCCCTGTAACAAAAACGTTTTACAGCTCATTTAGGGTCAATGTTAGATACGATAACAACACAGACGAAGCCTTCTGTCCGTGTTCATTCTGTCTGTATTAGTGCACGTCTTCTGGAAGCTAATGCATACAGACGAAAGCGATGAAATGGAGCAGTACCACTGGAAATTGGGGGGGGGGGACAATGTGGACAACCTCCTCCACTGTCCACATGTTTATTGTTCACTGAAATTCTCAATGAATTGCATGTATTGCTTGACAAACATGCCAACGTGCAAGACGGAGGGAAGTATGGGGGCGGAAGAAGTTTCAAAGTAAAACAGGAAAAAAATCACTTTTGCAGTTTTCAGAAAGAAAACTTCAACCAACCAGCATCATCACAGGCCATTAGTTATCTTAACTTTAAGAACCTGCCATAAGTTCCATAATATTTTCTCTTTGTTGCCCAGGACCCCAGAAGCAAGCACAAGTTCAAGATCCACTCGTACGGCAGTCCCACCTTCTGCGACCACTGTGGTTCACTGCTATACGGCCTCATCCACCAAGGGATGAAATGTGACAGTAAGTACACACCCTCTCTCTCTCTCTCTCTCTCTCTCTCTCTCTCTCTCTCTCTCTCTGTGTGTGCATGTGTGTGTGCACCTGTGTCGAATGTGCTGTGCTGGTTTCTGTCTCCGAGTCGGCCCTAATGAGAACAGATGGGAATAGACTTGTACTGTACACTCGGCTCCATCTGAGGCTCGGCTCCATCTGACCTCTGCCCATTTTGATTTCCGCTCCTTTTCCTCCTTCCTTTTTGTTCTTCACTCTACTACACCGATTATTTCCCTTTATTACCCCACTTCTTTGTCATCTTTTCTTTATATTTCCCTTACATTTTATGTCTCATTGCACTTCCTCTGCCCCCCCTCCTTGTTTCCACTTAATCTCCATCCATCGCCCTCCATCCATCCCTCCCCCCTCATCTTACTCTGTCTATCCATCTGCGGGGCCCTGGTGGCGGCCTCATCGCAGATGGTAATAGGAGCACACCAGAACAAATTGATGCGGGGAGGCCATCGCTATTACGAACTGCTTCCCCGTCTCTCGTCTCTCCTTGTCTCCTCCCTGCAAGTCAGCTTGACAAGCCTGCAGAGTGGAGGGAGGAAGCAGGAGAGATTGGAAATACAGAGGGGAAGAAAGGGAGAGAAAGTTAGAGGGCAGAAAGGGACAGAGGAGGAAACGAGGGGGAAGAGAAGAACAAATGTTCACACTCCCCTCTGGTCGCTCATCTGTTGAGGAAGTGTGTGTGTGTCTGGGGGAGTGTGTTAGAAATTAATAAAGAACGAGTCACAAGCAACACAATTTTTAAGATTAAAGGCCAACTACCCTCTTCATCATTTATTTTACTTTTGTGTAATGTTGGATCCAAAATGGAAAAGTTAAATTTTTTTTAGATATTTATCCAGATGAAATACGAGCAGGTGTTTTGTATTTCTTCATGTTCTAGTTATATTTTAGTGAGAATAAACCACAGCTCCATGTTCTCTTACTTTGAAGACTTTTAGTCTTTCTAGGAATCTGCTTTTACTTGTTTTTATGTTATCTTTTATTCATTCTTTTGTTGAAAAATTCAGCAGAGCTCCAGCTGCTTCATGTTGTTGTGCACCTCGTCTTGTACATTTTCTTGCAAGGCAGAGCATTTTCCACGAAACTTAGTAAATCCTGCAAAATGTACAACCACACTTATATTCTCCATTCCTATGTATGATTCACCCTCAAGTGTGTATGCAATAAGGAGGAGGCACCTTTCACTTGACTGTAGATTTTCAAAGTAACAGTCATGACACCAGGCCTAAAAGACAGATAAAGTCAACACTCTGTATGTCCCCCTCTGTTTTCTGTCTCTGTCTAGCCTGCGACATGAACGTTCACAAGCAGTGTGTGGTCAACGTGCCGAGCTTGTGTGGGATGGACCACACAGAGAGACGGGGTCGTCTCTTCCTCAAGATCGAGGTCAGCGGGGACAGGCTACACGTCACAGGTTGGTCTGAAACTCATCTTTGTCAGTAAAGGTTTCAACTCTTTGGGACAACACCTTCTTGTGATCAACTTTGATTCTTCTAGTTTAGGGTATGAATATGATTTTTCAATGTAGCTAGTTAAGGTGGAGTATATTTAGCTACTGTTTTTAAGGCGGAATAGCCTAATCTGTAGCAATGTATCAGAAAACGGAGTTAAATCTTAATCAGTTATTAAGCCAAATAATTTGATAGGTACTGGAGTACAAGTACATGTGTAAGTTGCACTAAATATTCAAGTACATTAAAACTGTATGTAAGTAAAGCAGTTCAGTGTGAACAGGTGTATGTGACGTCCTCTGGCACAGACTCAGTGTCTTTTCATAGTTTCATCCATTACGTCCAATAAAAATCAGACTGTCTCAGACTGTCAAATCAGAGTGTATTATAGAAATGAGACCTCAACCTTTCTCTCACATTAACCAAGCGTTGTGATATACACTGAACAAAAAGTACCTTTACTTCCTAGTTGTTATTTTACTGCAATATTGGGAAATCATTATTACTGTATTTCAAACTATGGCTGAATGGTTAGTGTTCATACAGTATTACAACAATGTTCACAGCTGCACTTCCACCTGTGTGACCTTTCCTGTTTGTCATACCTTCTTCACTGTTTTTCTATACTGCCAAGTAAAGACCTTAAATAAGTATAAGGAGAAAATCTAGCATAACAAAGTTTTGAGTTATTGTTTTCAAGAGATTTCAACTTGAATTATCAGTTGATATCAGAAAAGGAGAAATTCTGAGCTGGTTGGCCACTGTGCTTTAAAAAGAAATCCAACCTTTTTCAAGTCTGTAACAAAATTAACACTTAATCACACAATGTGGTTTCCATCTGCGTCAGCAGAAGTTATGAATGCCTTCATGACGTGTGTGGTACTGTCTCGCTGTGTGTGTGTGTGTGTGTGTGTGTGTGTGTGTGTGTGTGTGTGTGTGT